AGGAAAGTGAAGATTATAATAATTAATTTTGATTCATTTTTCCACATATAAATAAAGTGGGGTATGAAAAAGTTGAGGGCATCTGGGAAACACAATTTAAAATCTTGATTTTAAGACACAAGCATTAAGGCTGGAATTTCAAACAGTACCTTAATAATGTTATTACTAAAAATTAATTTGAAAAAAGTATGTTGGACAAATGCTAAATTAGAAAATGGAAATTTTCTAATGTTTCAAAATTTAAAACTGTACTGTATCAATGAACTAAATGAAAATTGCTTCTAAAAAGCACTTATAGGACTGCAATGTTAAATAGCTTTATAATAGTTTCAAATAAAATATATTTAATGATTATTTTTTCTGCAAATATTAGGATAACATTTCTGGGAAATACTGATAAAAACTTTTTTTACAACACAGCGAAAAAGAAAATGTAGGCATACCACTATGAAACTTCAAAATACTAATGAAGTTAAATTGCTTTTTTCAATAGTTTGTCACACAATAATGCTAGCATTATAAAATATACGTTAAAAAAAGCAAAAGCACACTGGACTTCATGATATAAGTGCATTTTCCAGTAGGACTGGTATTGCAAATGATGATGCATCTAAGTAGCCGGGTTTTATTTCTTTTTAAAAAATAAAATAAATGTCAAATGTTTTAACCATTCGAGTGAAAATTCAAAGTAACCATTTATGTCTAATTTATATTTTAATTCTCCAAACAAAGAAAGGTAGAGAATACTATTAAAAAGAGATCAATAAATAAGTTTGAAACCTACCAATACTGGTAGCAGGTGTCATGCACAAAACTGACCCTGTGTCATGCAATGGTAGGTGAAAAAAGGTGAATAAAGGGAAGAAACAGGTTAGCTGTTTAGAGTTAACATTCAAAGATCCAAGCATCCCAAGGAAAAACCAAAGTGAGTTAAATAGAAATTCAAAAAGACTATTCATAGCTTCATTGCTATTCTAAAACATTTCACTTCTATGTACAAATCTGTATAAATATACAAAACAAATGAAATTCTTTACTACAGTCAATGATCAGATGTTATCAATATACAGTAAGTAGAACCTCTAGTCACAATCATAATTCGTTTCGTAACTTTGGTCACAACCTGATTTGGTCGTGACCCGAACCTAATTTTGGAAATTTGGTGATTACAAAAAAAATAATAAAAATGGCACGGAAGGGGAAATTGACTGCGGGGGGGGGGGGGGGGTGATTTTTTTGGTTGGAACCTGATTTGGTCATGGTCAAAAGCATTTGTGACCAGAGGTTTATGTTATGGATCATCATAATCTGTACAGCAAACATTTCCTTTAGTATTGAACAATGGGACATTCTCATTAAAAAGAATTCAGTTTGAATAGTATATATAACAATAACTGTTTTACAATGTGATCTCTATTCCTGCCAGCCTGGTGTCATCTGCAAATGTATATGAGTTCCCCTTCTATTCCCTCATCTAAGTCATTTATGAAGATACTGAAGAGTACGGGGCCTAAGGCAAAATCTTGGGGTACCCACTGCTTACTTCCCTCCATGTAAAGATAGTTCCATTAAGGACTACATGTTGAGTGTGGTTTTCAGCCAGTTTCAAACCCATCTGGTGGTAATTTTCCCACATTTTTCTAACTTACTAAGAAGACTATGATCTACTTTGTCAAATGCCTTCCTGAAATCTAAATAGACTATTTCCACAGCATTTCACTGGTCCACTCATTTAGTTACTTTGTCAAAGAATGAAATGAGATTGGTTTGGCATGATCCGTTTTTGACAATCCGTGTTGGCTTCTGGTTATAACTTTGCTTGCTTTTAGGTGTTCACAAATCTGTTGCTTGATTACCTTTCCCAGGATCTTCCTAGGTATTGATGTCAGACTGATTGGTCTGTAGTTTTCTGGATCAGTTTTTTCCCTTTTTTGAAGATTGGAATCACGTCAGTTCTTTTCCAATCCTCTGGTAATTTCCTAGTGGTTCAGGATCTTTGAAAGATATGGTTTGAAAGATATGGTTCAAAGTTTCCGAGATCACATCTACCAGAACTCTGGGATGTAATCCATCTGGTTCTGGTGACTTGAACTCATCTAGAGTGGACAGGTTTTCTCTTACCATTTTCTTGCCTATTTTAATTTGTAAGTCTGTCTTTTACTGTTCTGTTCTTGGTAGAGGTTGGACTGTTTTTTTTCCTTTTGCATGAAGATGCAAAGAATGAATTAAGAAGCTCTGTTTTCTCGCTGCTACCCATCACTTCCTTGCTGTCTTCTCCCATTAGTGGACCCATTGTTTCCCTGACCCTTTTCTCGTTTTTTTTACATGTTGAAAGAACCTTTTTAAAATGATATTTTATTTTTGTTGCAAGTCATAGTTCATTCTGAAACTTAGTAACCTGACTTTGAACCTTAATAACCTGACTTTGCAGATTCAGGTTATATGCTGGTATTCTGCCTTAGTTATGTGTCCCTCTTTCCATTTTTATACTAATCCTTTTTTTGTCTTAAGTACCTTAATATTAAGCACCATTCAAATTGACAGAACTCATATATATGAAACAACTATGCACCAAAATGTGTATGTGTGTACAGTATTGTTAAAATGTTTTTCTAGAATATTCTGCTTGTTAACACTGGTTCATTTGGGGCATAGAGTCAAACTCTAGGTTACAGTTTACTATTATCTACACAAGAAATTGTGAGTTTCATATTCACATGTTATTCTCCCTCTTAACCATCATATGGTTTTCTTTTGAGGTCCGTTTTATGTTACACATAAGATCAAATCAGAAGTTGATGGATAGATACCTATGGGTTATTGCAACAAAGCAATTTCTATACATATTTATCAATGAATCATTGCCTTACTATATGCAACAGACACATAACGATAGGCAAAGAACTGATTCTACATTGGTGATTTTTTTTTAAATGAGATTTTTTTTTAAAATGCCTCCATTGGAACATACAGGAAGGAAAATGATGTTTGCTTGGAAGGGAAATCATGGGGCAGATTAACATTAGGCAAATAGTTTTAAAAAACTTTAAGATCCTTCTAGCAAATATTAAAATGGCAGAGAGAAGCAGGAAAAAGAATGAAGATAAGATTAAGACATGTAATCTAATGTTACAGTGATGGAAGATTCTTGTTATCTTATTCTATGCTATTGTCAGATTTTATAGCCTTTGTGAAACTTTCTCATAAGATGTAGTACCATGATGGTGAACCTATGGTACACGTGCCACAAGTGGCACACAGAGCCATTTGTGCCAGCATGCGAGCTGCAGGGAAACTTACCTCACTGCGCATGCGCAAGTCTCACATCTGATTTTTCGGCTGGTTTGAGGTCTTTTTCGGCCTCCCGGAGGCTTGGAAAAAGCCTCTGCAAAGGCTTTTCAAGACGAATAGGCCCGTTTCGTCACTTCCTGTAATACCGGAAGTGACGAAACGGGCATATTATTCGGCCTGAGAAGCCTTGCGGAGGCTTTTTCCAAGCCTCTGGGAGGCCAAAAAATCAGCTGTGAGGTGCAGTGCAGGTAAGGGGGTGGTGGGGGGTGGTATGGTGGGGATTTCACGCGCATATGCAGGGGCATGGGGAGGCACGCATTGCATTCTGGGTGCTGGCACACAAGTGCGTGTGTTCTAACGTGGGTGCAATTTTTGGCACAGGAACCCAAAAAGGTTGTAGTACTGTAGTACATGGGGCCTCAAGTTACCATCAAATAAGATAGTAGATGGACAGTGTCATGGATATCAAACAGAATTTTTACTCTGGAAAGAAATAAAAGAGTAGCCTTCTGTATACAACAGAAACAGAGAAGGAGAGGGTAAATCCACCTCACAGGGTGACTGTTTGGAGGAAAAGCAGAACACGAAGCAGAAGCATAATATACTGATAGCTCTCAACTTACAACCGCTCATTTAGTGACCCTTCAAAGTTACAACAGCACTGAATGAAGTGACTTATGACCATTTTTCACAATTGCCACTTTTGTAGCATCTGCATGGTCGTGTGATCAAAATTCAGATGCTTGACACCTGCTTCCAATTTATGACGGTTTCTGTGTCCTGGGATCATGTGATCACCTTTCGTGATCTTATGACAACGGGGAGACCAGATTCACTTAACAACTAATACTAATTTAACAACTTCAGTGATTCATTTAACAATTGTGGCAAATGTCATAAAATGGGGAAAACTCACTTTAAAAATGTTTCACGTAACAACAGAAATTTTGGGCTCTATTGTAAGTCAAGGACTACTTGTACCATGCCTTGGGTTGTAGAAAATAAAGGCAAGATATAGTAACAACCACAAGAGCAATGTATTCCCAGTAAATCTTCATATATTTGCTATGTCCTTCTGAGTTCTTCTAAGTCCTATATCGAAAATATCTATACAGAACACATATAGTTTTCTATATAGAAAATATCTATATAGAACATATATAGTTCTTCAAAGATGCCAAAGAACTGAGACAAGACTCAAAGGTGCTTTTTCAGGAGGCAACTGGACTTTCTTGTTTTTTCTTTGAAGACATTTTGCTTCTCATCCAAAAAACTTCTTCAGCTCTGATTGGATGGTGGGGAATGGAAAGATTTATATTTCTTGCAGACTAAACCTTTGCCCACTATCCAGTTGCCTCCTGAAAAACCCACTTTTGGGACAACCATGACCTGGAATCACTGAGAATCTCTACAAACTGAGACAAGATCATGCCTCGTTCCAAAAGACTGCTGAAAGACCAGGGTTAATCAAATGGGTTGACTGAAAACTTTTGATCCTCTTTACGCACTTCTAAACATTTTACAATATTCTTCGGAAATATTAAAAGTTTTTTTTTTTAAAAAAAAAGCCTCGTCAATGTCCTCCTAAAAGAGGTGGCAAAAGGACACAATTATTCAGATGAAAGCACAAGGAATGGGATCACGTGGGGGCTTTTTTTATCCAAAGACAAAGGAATCAAAATATTTCTTTACTTCTAAACAGAACTTACCTGTGGGAATAAATGATGCATGTTGCTGCAGCTGTGCACTAGCAAGAGCCTGTTGGTAGTGCAAGAAACTGGGATTAAAAATAGCACTGGCACCATTGTTTTTCTCAAGTGCTTGTCTCTTTGGTAAAGGATGAAGGACAGCAGATGGAAAGGCCTGTGGATTAAATACACACATACACACACAAATACAAACACACACACACACGTGTATATATATATATATATCCATATATATCTATGTACATAGATTTATATCTTAAAACGAGGACTGGGTAATTATTACAGCTTTTTCAACAGTTGAAGAAGCCTTGCCATGTTCCAAAGGCAGCAATGTAAAATTTTATTATTACTGGCAATTAATTAAACTAAATTAAACTAAACTTATAGAATCATATTAGTAATTAGACAGAGCCTAGAGAAAACATTATTTTTTGAAATAAGGTTAAAATATTTGTGTTTGTTTCTATTTATAAAAGGCACGTTATTTATTATAGAATAAACAGCGTCAATGATAAAAAAAATCACATTTTTTTCTTCACTTTGACTAAAATAAGTCAATGGAAGATGTAACTTTGTTAGAAAAGATGCTAGGTTATTCTGTCATATATAACATGTGAAAATTAGATTACTTAACTACTGAAATTATGCCTTATAATTAAGAGTGCAATTCAGATAAACGTTAAATTTATTTGCATTTTGGAAAAGCTACATGCAAAGCAAAAGGTGAAAGTCAAAGTACCAGGTCTACAGTTGCTTCAAGAGGTCGCTTCATTGCTTTGGCAGTCGATTGAGTCTTTTTAAGAATAGGCAGCGAGCACATGATGGCAGTGGCCAATGGAATTCAAGCGAATTAACATACAGGTAAACAGCAAGCAGAGGTGCATCATGGGAACGGCATTGCATTGTGGATAGTTGAGAAGGAAAAAAATATTCTGAATGCAAGATACAACATACAGAACACTAGACATGCACAACAACAGAAATACTTCATCATCTAAAGAAATGAACATTACATCTTGGATTAGTACTGAAGCAAAAAATGCATTTATCGTAATTTAGTTAAAAACATATAAGAATAAAACAGATGTTTGGAATTTAGGAAAGTTGAACAAAGTAGCAGCTTGCAGACAAATAAGCATCAGTAAGCTTTTATACTACGTAGGAAAGCAGTTATTGCAATGATTTTCCTAAACAAATACTGGTAAGTTAGTTATGCCATATTAGGAAGCATACATTAATTCCAAAAATTAACAATCAAAATTGAAATCACAGGAAAACAATATTTTAATGAAATGAACACATATATAAAACCTAGAAAGATTAATATTATTTTAAAGTCGTGTTTTTTACTGAGATCTTTAGTTAATGTTACTTCTGATCTTTATCACATTCGGTATAGTTTAAAATGTTCTCTAATTTTAACTATATTAGGAACCACGGATTACCATGTTAAGTAGGAAAAAATGATTACACATTTTGTTTGGGGATTTTAACAGAATAACAGAATTGGAAGGGAGCTTGGAGGTCTTCTAGTTCAACCTCTTGCTCAAGGAGACCCTATACCATTCCAGGCAAATGGCTATCCAGTCTCCTCTTAAAAGCCTCCAGTACGGAGCACCCACAACTTCTGAAGGTCAGCCATTCCATTGGTTAATTGTTCTCATTGTTAGGAAATTTCTCCTTAGTTCTAGGTTACTTCTCCCATTGAATAGTTTTCCTCCATTGTTTCTTCTCGTTTTCTGGTGCTTTGGAAAATAGCTTGTCCCGCTCTTCTTTGTAACACTCACTGAATAATGAAACACTGATATGCCATCCCAGACTTTCTTTTCACTAGACTAGACATACCCAATTCCTGCAACTGTTCTTCATACATTTTAGCCTCCAGCCCCCTCATTTTGTTGCTCTTCTCTGTACTCTTTCCAGAGTTTCAACATCCTTTTCATAGTGTGGTGACCAAAATTGAATATTGAAAACCGAGTATCCCAAGATTGGTCTTATTAAGGCATTATAAAATGGTACTAACACTTCACATGATCTTGGTTCTATCCTTCTGATAATGTGCCCTACATTACATTGGCTTTTTTGGGCGGCTACAACACACTGCTGGATCACATTTAAATAATTGTCCACTAGGACTCCGAGATTCCTCTCATAGTTATGGCTTTTGAGCCAGGTTTCACCTGATCTATACCTGTATATTTGTTTTTTCTTGCCTAAGTGTAAAACACTGCTTTTCTCTACATTGAATTTCATTTAATTTGAGGCCCAATGTTCAAGTCTGTCAAGATCCATCTGGCTCTTGAACCTGTCTTCTGGGGTGTTGGCTATTCCTGTCAGTTTGGTGTCGTCTGCAAATTCGATGAGTTCCCCCTGTATTCCCTCATCTAAACAATTTATGAAGATATTGAAGAATATTGGGTCTAAAACAGAATGCTGGGGTACTCCACTGCTTACTCCCCTCCATGTAGATGTAGTTCCATTAAGGGCTACACACTAAGTGCAGTTAGTCAACCAGTTACAAATACATCTGGTGGTGATGCTGACTATCCCACATTTTTCTAACTTACTAATAAACTCTCATATTCTGAATTTTGTAAAGATGATGGAGAGTTCTAATTAACTTTTGTTCTCTTCCAATGGGGATATCCGTAATGCTAATCTGCACCATTTTCTCAGAACTCACTCCTCAGTAATTCAAGTGTCTACTAATCTGGATCTGTTTGCTTAAAAATGTCTAGTATTGATATATTATAGATGTATTTTCAGTATTGGCACGAATGGTTTTGTTCTCAGCCAAACTGTAAGCTAGCTATGCAAAACAACAACACATTAAACAACATTATAAAAAATGCTGTGTTGGATCAGACCAACGATCATCTAGTTCAATACTCTGTTCCCACAGTGACCAATCAAATGCCTATAGGGAGCCCACAAGGAGGTCAGGAGAGCATTAAAACCTCCTAATAGTTGTTCCCTAGCAACTGGTCTGTAGAGGCTTACTGCCATTGAATACTCTAGAGTCATAATGCCTAGTAGCTCTCATTTTATCCTTAGAACAATTTTTAATCCAAACTGGCCCACATCTTTGCAGAAAATGGCAGCAAATTCTAAAATTTAACCACCCACTGACATGATTAAAATGATTTCAGCAAGATATCAACCAAAGATAACTTCTCTAACTTTAGAATGGTGATGAAAGGAGTCCTCACACATAACAAAAATATAATTCTCAAGCGGTGTTTTTAAGCTCACATCTGTCAATTCCTATTTTGAAAACATTAAATGTGCCTTCTTTGTAAACAAATTCATGCAAAATTTTATTGTTTCATGGATTTCTATTTATGTTTATTTATGTTTTGTTATGTTACATCAAATTATGTTTGATCATGTCAGTCTATCTAGATTTCTATTTAAAAAGAGGCAGACGTTTGAGTGCTGATCCCTAAAAGCAGATATCAATAAATGTCATATTGATTATGGACAAATTGGACAGTCATTTGTCTAGAATGGCATAGGGTAGGAGTCTCCAAACTTGGCAACTTTAAGATTTGTGGACTTCAACTCCCATAATTCTTCAGCTAATCATGCTGGCTGGGCAATTCTGGGAGTTGAAGCTCACAAGTCTTAAAGTTGCCAAAGTTTGAAGACTCCTGGTATAGGGTCTCCTGCTCGGGCAGGAAGTTGGACTCAAAGACTTCCATGGTCCCTCCCAACCCTGTTATTCTATGTTCTATGATTCTGGTAGTTTTAAGAGCATTTTGGAGGCTTGCAAGAAGCTACTAACAATATTTTTCTAACAATATTTTGTATGGTGGCTCGATGTACAATCTGCAGTCTACCTCTACTATATAAAGTAACTACTGTGCATTTGTTTTATTACTTGCCCTATGGCAAGAATAAGGACAGATTTTTGTACTGGGGATACTTCATTTCCTCCTCATTTGAACATTCTGCTTGTGTTATCTAATATACTAAAAATAATTTACTCTCGCTAACCAAATAAATTACCATAAAGGGTCCACTTATAGAAAGGGCATTATCAAGGTAAAACAGCTCTCATCACTTCTAAACTAAAAGAAGTTATTTTTGTAAAAATTTGTAAAGTAGGAATGTTATGGTCATTAAACTAATATTCCTACAAGGTTTTAGGACAGGAGTCTTCAAACTTGACAGCTTTTAAGACTTGTGGACTTTAATTCTCAGAATTCTTCCTCCAGTCATGTTAGCTCAGGAATTCTGGGAGCTGAAGTCCATAAGTCTTAAACTTGCCAAGTTTTAAAATCCTTGTTTTAGGATGATACAGAAAGCTATCTGTTTAGTACTGTTTGTTTGAAAACTTAGCAATACAATGACATTTTATAAAGCCAAAGATAGATACAAACAGTATAATTATTTCACCCCCTTGGTTCTTGGGACAATGACTAGATGTCAAAAATAATGAATGAAGTTTACAAAAACTCCAATAGGTGACAATGTGATTTTTTTTCTTTTTGGAAAAAGGAAGAAATACAAATGGTGGACTCAAAAGATCATCCTAGCAGAATGATATCACAACAGAACCTTCAAGATTATCCTTATAAGGTATAGTGAGTGATTGGGCAAAATTTCTTGCACAGGTTTCCTTCCTGGGATTCAGTCTATACAGAGAATACATATCAACCTATCACAAACCGTATTTCTACCTAACCTCTTTTTCAAATTAGTTTGAAAAAGAAGACACCCAGTAATTTGCCCTCAGTTTAAAAGGCATGTGTATGAATGAATTCATCCACCCTTCCTTTCTAAGGTTTTAATCATTGTAGTCACTGTGTAAGATACCATGACTCCATTTGGAACAGCCAACATGCAAATTTAATAAATAAAGACCTAGCTAGAAAACTGCATCAGATATTTTCTAAACCACCATGTGTATGTAAGTCAGCAGACCAATTTATCCATATTTCAAAGCATTCAAGCGAAAACCAAGTTAATCTTTAGAAATAAGAGCCTGTACTAAATACGAAGGAAAATGCTGAAGAAACAAGGGCAGTTAAAACTTGAGCTCGACTGCATTCCAGGAAAATACTCCTTGTTCTGAAATTACTGAGTAAAACAGATTTCCTGGGTTGCTAATTCGTAACAAAAATCCATCTTAAAAGTAGCCATCTCAAGGACTTAAAGGACCCCGTTCCCCTTGCACTCACCATGACTGTAGCAGCTGTAGCAGCTGCCTGGGCCACTACTGCCGCTTGGTTTGTCTGGTGCTGAGCTGCTTTGATTTTGGCCTGTAAGTGAGCAGGAGGGTGAAAATATTTGCATTTTTCCCTCAGGCAACGCCCTTTTATGTAATCCATACAAACAGTTACAGTGTTGTCATTTGTATCAATCATTGTGCTGTCAGCAGGATGTGCAAAGCGACAATCGGTTTCACCCCGTGCACAATTTCCTCTCTGGAATTCCCGGCAAACCTGGGGAACAAAGCAACATTTATTATGCACATGAGGGTTAATTACACACCGAGCACAAGAAAGAATTTAAAAGGCAATTTTTGAACCGTGCCCAAATAACCTCTGAAAATTGTTAAAACCTTTAATCCCAGTCTATAACAGGGCTGTCAAACTCATGGCCCGTGGGCTGGATGTGTCACACGCTGGCCACACCCATGCCCGGTTTAGTAAAGGAGGGAAAAAGCCCCATACGTCATGTGACTCCGCGAGTTTGATGCCCCTGGTCTATAACACAGGCTCCACTATTGTATAAATTCTGCATGGATCTTGAATCCATCTGGGTCCCTGATCTCTTAGTGACTTTTAATATTATCAACTGTGGTATCCTTCTGGACTAACTCAGGGGTTAGAAAGGAGGATGTGGTGTTACGGTGCTTCTCCTTCCTAATGGATACGTTCCATTCAGTGTTGACAGGGGAGACAAGTTTAGCCCTAAACCTCTGCTTTTTGGGGTTCCATAAAGCGCCGCCCTCTCCCCACACCGTTCTATATGAAACTGGTGGGTGAAGTCATTGGATGCCATGGAGGTAGGTACCATTAGTATATTGAAGTTGTATATCTCAACTTCTGACTGACAGAACTCAAGAAATAAGCTCAGATTTTTCATATGTAAAGGTCACCTCTCTAAGAATGGAGAACACAAAGGTGCTAATGGACTACCATTAATTGAACTTAACTGTTTTTCCCTTAGTTTATTATCTCTGTTTCCAAATTAATGTGAACTACAATTACATAATAGATTACAATTGCTGCAGAAACAATACAATTACTAGGCCATGAAAAAGTCTGAAGAGATGATTTGCTCCAAAGGTGATTCAGGTGACCACTTTAACTGAATTTCTAACCTTTCAGAGCTCTTCTGTTCGTGTACAGAAATCACTCACCCTAAACTAAAGCATCCAGTCAAGATTAACAAGACCTGTGCTGATGTTTCATGAGGTAGAAGATCTTCTTACCTTCTAGTGCAGGGGAGTCAAACTCAATTTCATTGAGGGCCGCATCAGGGTTGTGTTTGAACTCAGTGGGCCGGAGTGGGTGTGGCCAGGGTGAGCGTGGCCAGCTTGAGGTCACTTGTGTCGGGGGCTCCTGTGGCGGCCCAAATGCTCTGCCAGCAGGTTCCCGAGTTCCCTTTTGGTAGCTGTTTGCACTGACAGAGGGCTGCAGGAGGCCAACTCGGCCGAAATGCAGCCCTCCCACGCTCCATTTTTGTTGGAGAAGTGCCATGGGCCAGTTCTTCGCTATTTCCAGGGTGGTCACAGTTCTAAGCACTCCATGGGCTGAACCAGCCTGCGGGCCTTCAGTTTGACACCCCAGTTCTAGTGCTAAGTAAAATGTATCAAAGCTTTGCATAGCCATGATAATGAAGTCTGCACTTCTTCAATTCAGCACAATTATGACACCAAAGTTCCGGAACAGAGGATCTGCATTGCTTATGCTAAGTAGCCAACTGAAATGAAATGGGTTTTTCTCTATATTTAAACATAGTCACTGTGTTTATTCACAATCCTATATAACCAAATACCAAATACCGAATGTATCAGAAGAATGATGCTCACGATACCTCCAGTTTATCTGTCCTGAGGAGTTTCTGTGATGTAGTTGATCCAGAGACAGAGACAGGATTTCCAGGAACAATTACAGATTGTGTGGGAACCATTTCTGTAGGAACCAATCCAACCCCAGAAGTAACTGGAGCTAAATATGGTGCAAAGTTTAGTGCTGGATTAGATCCTATTGTTGGCCCTACTGAAAATGATGGCTGAAAGAGAGAATAAAAAGGAATGATAAATAAGCATAAAGAAATGAAAAATAAACACATGTTCTGTGATAAATTCAATATCAAAGTTCACTGATTTATGTTAGCGGAGTCCACACACTTGCTAAATTGAAATAACCCATATTTTGACTTAACAGAATGTATCAACTCAGTGTCTAGATCAGGGGTGTCAAACTCAAGGCCTGCAGGGGGGCCGGGGGCCACCCCTGGAAACAGCGAATGGCCAGCCCCTGGTGCCTCTGCCAGCAAAAATGAAGCTCGGGAGGGGTGCACGCGCCCCCCCAGGCCCCGTTTTCGGCTGTGATGGCCTCCTGCAGCCCTCTGCCAGCAAAAGCATGCACCCTCCCACCTCCATTTTTGCTGACAGAAGGCTGCACAAGGCCATCGCGGTCACCCCCACCCCTGTGGTGCCCCCTTAAGAACAAACTCAACCCTGATGCGGCCCTCAATGAAATGGAGTTTGACATCCCGGTCTAGATATTTGTGGCTTTCTTAATAAATTAAAACTGAGTATCATGTTTTAATTTTGATGAACCCATTCCAAAGGATTCTGAAACAGGCATTATCCAGGAAAGGTAAACTTCGTGATTCAACATGAAAGTTTTAGAGCCATGTTCATCTTTGAGGGAATGAATGTACATTGCACATATATAAATTAAAAATAATATACTTAATGTTTCACATAATAACAGCTGCGAGATTGGTTTATGCCCAAAACTGGAAGAATGATGATACCCCCGTTGAAAGCGAAATAATAAAGAAAATATTAGTCTGTGCAGAGATGGACAGACTAACTCTAGAAATGAAGGATAAGGGTGAAACAGAGTATTATGAAGTCTGGAGCAAAATATATCAATGGTTGGAGTCAAGGAAAAGAAGAAATTGTTGATGCTTTATAGGAATTAAGGTTAAAGTTATGTAGGCTAAAGAAAATGAAATATAATGGATGATTATGGGTATAAGGATTATAAGGGGAAAAGGAGATGAAAAAGAAATTAGGTTGTAAATATGTATATAATTGTAAATAAAAACAAATACCGTATTTGCCGGCGTATAAGACGACTTTTTTGCCCTGAAAAACATGCCTCCAAGTGGGGGGGTCGTCTTATACGCCGGGAGGACTCCGACTCCCACTTCGAGCTTGAGTTGCAGCCGGGAGGGAGGCTGGGGGGGGGGGCGGTGTGTGTGTGTGTGTGTGTGTGTGTGTGTGTGTGTGGCGGGTGTCACTCGCCACGCGCTGCGCAACCTTTCCCCCTCTTCCTTCCTTAGCGGTGTGGGGAGGAGAGGATTCGAAGATCCTCACGTGCGGCGTACTTTTTCTTTTTTTCTTTTTGCACGCAGGTTTTGCATGCGGGCGGCTGTAGGTTAAGGATGGGGGAGCCCCCGGGTGGGTTATCAGGTTTTACGGTGCTTCCAACATGTGCGAACGGTGGGAGAGCGGAGAAGAGAGCGAGCGAGCGCCCTGCTGTGTGAAATCCTGCCGTCAAAGCAACACTGGGGGAGGCAGGGTATAAATTTACCAGGTTAATGTAGCAATGGTGATTAATGCCCAGAACATTGTTTGCAGGTATTGGTGTGTGTGTGTGTGTGTGGTGGTGGTGGTGAGGAGAGGTTGTCCTTTGAATGCGGAAAAGTAGGTGTGACCTTGTGTAGGAAAATAAAGAGATCCTTTTTAGCGTGTTTGGCTTCTTTGCCTCCCCTCGTTCGTTTTGATGTGGAGATAATGGCCTTCGGGCGGGAGGGGAAGAAAACTGTAGCTGGATCATTTCAAATTTCACTTACTCTCCTGCCTCACTTCAATATGTCTGAGCGACTCCAGATACTGGAAGACTTTTTGAATGAAAGTGTTACCTCCATATATTTTTTTAAAGAGGGCCACTTGGGGAAAAAAAAAGATTCTAAGGAATTCCTTGTTTCTTGATTAAAGAGAAGGCATTGAATATACTGTTCCTTGGCAGCCTTTTCAGTGTCCGGGTTTTTGGTGTGTGTGTGTGTGTGTGTGTGTGTGTGTGTGTAAGTGTGTGTGTGTGTGTGAGAGAGAGAGAGAGAGAGATCAGCTGTATTGAGAAGAGAACGTTTCCTGTGTTCTCATTTTATTTACAACATATTTTACGCTTAATGGTAAGCAATGAAAAATATTTTTAAAACTCATTTCTAAACTCCATAGCTATTGGCATATTCTTGGTTCAAAATTGGATTAGCTCATTTCAAAATTGTCCAAAGCAGAAAAGTGCGTCAAAAAAAAAAAGTGCAAAAGTGGAAGGTGTGTGGAAGAGGGGGTAGTCTTATACGGCGAGTATATAACAAACTCTATATTTTGAGTGGAAATGTTGGGGGGTCGTCTTATACGCCCAGTCGTCTTATACGCCGGCAAATACGGTATGTAACTAGCATTAAATTAACAATGTAGGAAAAAGGAAAGATCAACTGTTATATCTATTTTATGTTATAGTATGTATGGCCAAAATGATTGCCAAGAAAGTTGCACTGTGTTTAATTGTTTTTAATGTTTACTTAATAAAATTTTTCTAAAAAAATTAAAAATAGAGAAAAGATGCTTAATTAACCAAAGAATGGCCACGTAAATTTACTGAAACAAAATTAATTTAGTGATAAAGTAGCATGTCTTGCTAATACAAACAGGATAGTTGAGGACATACCTTGATATGACCTGCTGGAAATAAATCAAAACTATAATTTAATATGCATGATTATGTTACATGTTAATTCTTCTAACAAGGGTGAAAAGATTTATACATTAAGGTCCTTTCTGATGTTATTGAGCACAAAAACATTGAAAGTGAGAAATTTTAAACATACATGAATTACTGCTTAAATGAAAACTCTGCCTTTTTACCCCAAGTCTAGATTTAAGTCTTTCTTAAAGGAGAAATAGCATCTGAAAAACATTACATTTCTGATCCAAGCAGTATATAAATAAAGTGTGTGTGTGTGTGTGCGCGCGCGCGGGCGGGAGGGGGAGGGAGGGAGGGGGAGAGAGAGAAAGAGAGAGAGAGAGAAAGAACGCTCATACGCATCTTCAAGTCATTATGGACTTCTGGTGATTGCCTGAAAAGTTGTCTCGGCAACATCATACAGCTGATTTCATGCCTAAAGCCATATTAAAACTCCTGGTTTCTCACTTAATACCTTAACCACTACCCCAGATTTCTTACTATTTTTACTTTTAATGATTTCTATATTTCAAAAAGTTTCTGGGTCACTTTAAGATTTTCACATCACAGGCTACATTTTCATAACTAATTATTCACCAATTCCCATAAATAAATTAGAAGGGGGTGCAAATACTATATACTGTATTTATAAATATATGTATACATGTGATAAGCAAATTAACATATAAATTATTCAGCTTAACTGAATCTCACTATGTTTTTCTTTGTAGTTTATCCAGAATAAACTGGCTTGTTCCCCAAAATGCAGACAGTTCAACAGCTGCAATAAGATTACAAACAGAAAAGGTTCATAAAAACGATTTATACATTTTTACTGGACAATATTGGATGACAGCCTGTTGTAATTTATAAATTAAAATTATGATAAATTCATTCATTTATTTATGTTAGTCAGATATCAGCTATGAAGAATCAAGCATTGGGCTGGCATTTCATTAAAAGTACTGACCATTGGCTGAAGAGGTGCTCCTGGGAATATAAATTGCATCTGCTGAGCCAGCACTGCTGCTGCAGTTTTCTGTTGGATCAGGTTGTTCCTGCCATTAATTTCTAGCTGAGTTTTCAAATGTGTTGGTGGATGAAGATATTTGCAGTTCTCCCTTGTGCAACGGCCCTGAAAATGATACAAAATGATCCGTTTTGGGAAATTTTATAATGATCTGTAATTATAAAGCAGCTATTTCATATCCTCCAAAAAAGCCTTTTGTATAAATCAAATAGCATATTGGACTGAATTTCTCTGTTGACATTTCTTGGAGGCGTTACACATCTGTTATAATTGCATTATGCATTTTACCAAAATTAGGTGGAAAGTATTCCCATATCTTTTCTTTTGTAATGCCCTGTAGATATAACATATTACAAAATAATGTTCATCACATTTGATGAAGTTTCTAATGTATGCTATAAAGAAGAAGGACAGAAATAGAATAGGAATGCACTAAGGCAGATTTGAATCCTTTTCCATGGTCTTTCAAAACTTTATATGTAGCTACCCCCATCAAGATTGGCAACAATAAATTCAAACTTTTCTCCCAGATGTTGGAAATGTAATAAAGAAAAAGGAACGTACTATCACTTATGGTGGAGTTGTAAAGAAGCCCAAAAATATTGGCAAAATCTACATAATTAGATAGAAGAAATGTGTGGAAAGAAAATAGAATATAGACCAGAGTTCTTTCTGCTAGGGATCAATTCGAGGAATTATGATAAAGAAAATATATTTCTAATAATCCATGCAATAACTGCAGCAAGACTGGTGTATGCACAGAATTGGAAAAGTAAAGATATCCCAAATAAATTGGATATATTGGGGAAAATCATGAGATGCACAGAAATGGATAAACTAACAAAGGAACTAAAAAATGAGGAAGATTTGGATTATTATAAAACATGGGACAAATTTTATGGTTCGCTAGAGATGATGAAGATTCATGTAAATAAGGAATGATTATATGCATAGTTAATGTATACAGAATGAAATTATGTAATATTATTACTCGATTTAGCAAAGTAATGACAAAGATTGATGTTAGGAAGACTACCAGGCTCAACATTTTTATTGTAATTTCTGTTTCTGTTTGTGTGTTTGTTTAGTAAAGGAAAAATTAAAAAAAAACTTTATATGTAGGCATGAAGATGAATGAGAACAGAACTGCATTTTCCAAACCCATTTGAAGGGTTTTATAAAAAGTAAATTTCTGAAGCTGATCTTCAAAATCTGTGGTGCTCAAAAAGTTATCTCAGAACAATTGTGTTTTTTAAGTAGTATAGTGTATAGTAGCTTAGGGTAGGATAGTATTAGGAAGGGGAAGGAAGGGAAAGGACAAGATAAAAAGGCAGGAAAGAAAAAGGAATGAAAAGTAGAGAATAAGAATGACTTCCAACTTTCTTTGGTACAAATGTAGATTTAAAATATATCAAACACTCACTTTAAAATAGCTGTAATTCACACTAATTCTATAATCCCATATAGTTCTTATCAAGTCCCAAAATCACAATTTCATTTCTTTCATTTTCTTGCAAAAAGTCCAAAAGTGGTTTCTTGATAGAAACAAAAATTGATAAATCTTTTCTTTAAACAAAGCTGTTAGTTTCTACCATTTCTGACAATCCCATCGGCTTAACCATCTATCCTTCCATTTTTGTGTACAGATAGTCCTTGAGTTACAACTACCGTGTTTCTCATATAATAAGGCCGGGTCTTATTTTTTTTTGAGCCCCGAAAAAATGGCTAGGCTGTCTTTTCGGGGGTGACAATTCCCCCCCCCTTGCATCTTCGGGCGGGCGGGCGGCGACGGCTTGTATGTTGACCTTGGCATTGGTGGGGCACTTTGTATCGGGGTCAACGCAGGCAGCACCATATCCGGGTGTGCAACAAAAGTACTTCCTAACGGCAAGCCCCCCCCACCATCCCCCCCCATTTCGCATGTTTTAATATAGGCCTTAATTTGGGGGGAGGGGCTTAATTTCATTTCATGCCTATAAAACATGCTGGGACTTCCTATTGGGGGAGGCCGTATTGTTGGAGAAACAGGGTACAATGGAGCCCAAAATTTATGTTGCTAAATGAAACAGTTGTTAAGTGAGTTTTGCCCCATTCTATGACCTTTTTAGCAACAGTTGTTAAGTGAACGACTGCAGTTGTTAAGTTAGTAACATGATTGTTAAGTGAATCTGCTTATCCCATTGACTTTACTTATCAGAAGGTTACAAAAACTGATCACACAACCACAGAGTCCTACAACCGTCATAAATATGACTCAGTTCCCAAGCATCTGAATGTTGGTCATCTAATCATGGGGATGCTGCAATGGTTGTAAGTGTGAAAAATGGTCATAAGTCAGATTTTTCAATCTGTTTGCCCATTAACTACAAAAGGAAAGTCTCTAGTTTCAACTGTACATTTCCTTTTAATATCTTCTGAATCAAAATATATATTTGATCCCTACATTTTCTAATTTTCTGACTTGTCCACCAAAGATAAGAGTGTACCCTCAGTGTTCTTACATTTACAACAAATATTTAAAATCCAATTATGCATGTGGAGTCCTTGGTCCTGTCTGACCTTGCTGTTGTTTTCTTGCATGTACAGGTGAAACTCGAAAAATTAGAATATTGTGCAACAGTTCATTTATTTCAGTAATGCAACTTAAAAGGTGAAACTAATATATGAAATAGACTCATTACATGCAAAGCAAGATAGTTCAAGCTGTGATTTGTCATAATTGTGATGATGATGGCTTACAGCTCATGAAAACCCCAAATCCACAATCTCAGAAAATTAGAATATTGCATGCAATCAATAAAACAAGGATTGTACATAGAACAATATCAGACCTCTGAAAAGTATAAGCATGCATATGTACTCAGTACTTGGTTTGGGCCCCTTTTGCAGCAATTACTGCCTCAATGCAGCGTGGCATGGAAGTATCAGCTTGTGGCACTGCTGAGATATTATGGAAGACCAGGATGCTTCAATAGTGGCCTTCAGCTCTTTTGCATTGTTCAATCTCATGTCTCTCATCTTTCTCTTGGCAATGCTCCACAGATTCTCTATGGGGTTCAAGTCAGGCGAGTTTGCTGGCCAATCAAGCACAGTAATCCCACAGTCATTGAACCAGCTTTTGGCAATGTGGGCAGATGCCAAGTCCTGCTGGAAAATGAAGTCAGCATCCCCATAAAGCTCGTCTGCAGAAGGAAGCATGAAGTGCTCCAAAATCTCCTGGTAGACGGCTGTGTTGACCATGGACTTAATGAAGCACAGTG